GCTTGTACTGGAGATGGGGACAGAGGGCAGTCTGGTCCTCTGCCCTCAAGGAGTTTGCCATCTAATGGCAGAATCGTAAGATTAATGTAAATAAACACTTAAATCTATTTCATGCAAAATCAATTTATGAATATTCATGTGTGTATATAGTATGCATATTCAAATACCTCACCATCTTCCAGTTTATAAAGATAATTATGATTAAAACAAGCACTTTTATGAAGAGAATTTTAGAAGAAATCTAGGTACAAGGTAATAGAAGTAGAACTAAAAAAAAAAAAATAGAACTGGATGAGACCACAGACAGATTTAGTGCCTAGAAATTCATACTGTAATAGCTCACAACATAATTATAGCGGGGTGGTGAATTCAGGTTTCAGCTTTCTGAAGCCAAATAAGAAAGTTAGGGCTGGTCCAATCGTAGTGTTATCAGAACTTATTAACATTAGTGTCACTAAAGTTGGTATTCAACCCCCTACTACTAAATTTGTCTGGCTTAAAAAAATAAAAATAAAAAAAGAAGGTTAGAAGACTCTCAGTGCTTGTGAGGTAAGAGCAGAGCCATTGCTGAAGAAAAGCGAAGCTCTTCCTTGCTCTCAGGTCTAACTGACTAGATGACTCAGAGGGGCAGGTCTTCAACAGCAGCCTTAAACACAACAGCCACCCAGTGTCTAGGATTCTTGGTGCATTTGGAGGCATAATGACATGGTACAGTTCAGTAGGAGCGTTCTCTGGGGGTAAAAGCCACACACATCTGGTTATCTGGCTCCTTTCAGGGGTAGGCAGTTTACCCTTAGACAATCCTCCAAGAGCGTTATTTCTTGCCTGCACAATTTTGATAAAAATTGCGCAGCCAACAGTTCAAAATAACTTTCTTTGGCAACGACCTGGAGTACGATTATTCTGTATTGTAGATTAAGGACACACCTCCATATTCCAAAAAGAAAAGTAGGATTGATCTTCTTTTACAAAAATTAAGAAGCTGACCCAGGACTTGTACTTGAATAAGGGAGTCATTCACACCTCTGCAGAGTGACCCAAGGCTGTGCCTGTGGGCAGGGCCAGGGATTTCCATGCAAAACTATTCAGACTGCCAACACCTGAACAAATAACAATCAAGCTTTCAAAATTCCACTCTGGGAAGCATGGGAATAATCTAAGAGTAAATTAGTCACAAATTGTGCCCCCAAGTAATTAACTGAATTGCCCTGTAGAATGGTTATAGTTTAATTTGGTCAATTACATTTTGACAGACTTGTATCAAAAATGATGATTTGGGCTTTGTGATAGTTGATGTTGGACCATTTTTCCTGATGAAAGATGATAGGACCTTTTATTGTTGAGGCCATTCCTAGAGTTTTGACAGTGTAGAAGAACATAATTTATTTTTCTGTTTGTCTTTAGCAGCAAGCTAAAGATCTAGATCATACAAAAGTGGTTTAAAATGATGAAGAGTCAGATTAGAAAAAAAGAACCAGAACACATCCCTCAGTTTTCTTGTTTGTATAATGGGATGTTAATAATATCTATCTCATAGAGTTATTATGAAGTTTAAATACGTAAAAGCAGTTAGAACAATGTCTGGCACATAGTACTCAATATATCTTAGCTACTAATATTGCTGTTATCATTTCTCAGAATATTTGATTTAACAAAAGTAAGTCCTGCTAACTCTGCCTCCATAGAGATAATAAAGGGCAGGTTTTCTAAAAGAATCAGTCACTAAGTGGTCTCTTGAACTAATGTAGCACAGTTACATGGGGCTTTTGCAGGGTTAGAGGCCAAGGAAGGATGGTAATTAAAGTTGCAAACTGTCTTAACATTGACAGATTTCTACCCAGGCTGATAGAGTATAACTGGTCAATTATAGAATAACGGTCTCTAATGCCTGTTGGCTTCTCGGTAGAAAAAATGGCTTGAGAAATTCAGATTTAAAATTTGGTAAGAAGTAGAAGATAGCCCTTTTAAAAATGGCATAGGTTTTACTCTGAGTTCATCCATTTTAGTTCTTACCAGTTTTATTACTGGAGGAAGCAGACGGCCAGGATTTGGAACACACTGGTCATATTGAACTTTGAACAGTTAGATGTTCAGAAGTTTTCACTGGGGCTTGACATAATTCGGTATCATAATATTGAGGCTGAGAGCATGTGTTTTGCAGTTAGATAGGCCTGGATTGCAGTCCTGGCTCTGCCCCTGAACTAGCTGTGAGCACTCAAGCAAGTTGCGTCATCTCTCTAAGCTTCGTTTTCCTTGTCTATAAAATCAGGGTAATTGCATTTACTAACAGAGCTGCCGGGAGGAGGTTTGAATAAAAGAATGCAAACAAAATAATTAGCACTGTTTCTAACACATTGTTGGCGGTAGCTATTATTAGTGTACGTTAAATCAATTCTACATTTATAGATGGATCCTTTTCCAGAATATGATCAGAGAAGGGCCTAGGTCAGGAAGATTGAAAAAACTGTTGGCAGGTCATAAAATTGAGAAAATTAAGCCTCCTTCAAGTCTAGAGTTAGGGTCTACAGTTCTGTGATCTCAATCCTAAATCTGATCTCATTACTGATTTTAGAGCCAAGGAGGCAAAAATCATTTTAAATAAGGTCCTAATTTGATAAGATCCAATCCACCCTTTCATATTTGCTTTCATGTGCCATATGATTAACCCGTCCAACATTTTCTTTGCTGTCCTTTCAAGCCAAGAACTAGAAGGCTGGGGTCCAAGTTCACCAAACATGGGCCTAATAGATAAAGCCAACTTAAAAAGAAAAATATATATATATATTTTATAATATATATTTATATATATAAAATCTCTAATAATTTTAAGAGATACAAAAAATAACAAAATCTAAAATTTAAGAGGAATAAAAAGCACAAAAGATAAATGAAAAAATAGAAATTAAAATTTGATATTAAAAGGAAAAAACAATTTGAGTTGAACTTTTCATGAAAGATAAACTAAAAGTAGAAAGTGTTTAAAAAAAAGGCAAGAAAAATGTAAGGCAAGAACTCAGAAAGCAGCACAAGTTAGAAATGGATACTAAAACAGGGCAGAGCTATATAAAGTTATAGATGTTTAAAAAACAAAGTAAAAATACATCCTCTATAAAGATGAAGAATAAATCCATCTGTAAGTAGGTGAGCAGCACAATCTTGAAGCCGGTTCTCTAAACTGCAGTGATTTACCCAGGTTGGTGGTCGGCAGAGGCTGCAGAGAGTGGGGCTCACAGTTAGTGACACTGACCACCTTTGGACAGTGCTCCTGAGCCTCTCCTCCAGGTGCTTCACCTTTGGTATTTCTGCCATCCCTCCCTGCAGCTCCAGGTGCTGCGTATTGTTCTCCCTGCACCACAGGGGAGGAAACTAAAGTTTGGATATGCGCCTTGCCCCACTAGCAGGTCTGAAGCCTACACTGATGCTAAAACCCATGTTCTTATTCTTTATGTTTTTCTGCCTTCTGATACCATTAGCATCATCAACAACAAAGACAGTAACAGAATCCCTTGCGCCTTTGTCCTTCCCCCTCACCTGGTCAAGATTACCTGCCCAGGTAGGAGAGACTGCCTTTCTTAGCAAACAGCCCAGCAAGAGGAAATGGGCCTGTAACCCACTGGAGGGTTAACATTTTTTCTATTTTCTCCTCCCATTTTTTTTAAATGGGCAGTTACTCAGTTATTCAGATATTTAACCTCAGGTCAGTCTCTAAATATTTCCTTAATGTGGCCACTTTTTTCTGTCTTCACTGCCACTGCCAAGTTCAGGCCACTCTCTTGTCACTCCTTGTATTAGTTTCCTGTGGCTGCTTTAACAAAACCACGTACTTGGGTGACTTAAAACAACAGAGTGTATTCCCTCACAGTTCTGGAGTCCAGAAGTCTGAAGTCAGTCTCACTGGGCTGAAATCCAGGTGTGGGCAGGGCTGTGCTCCCTCCTGAGGCTCGGGGGTAATCTGTTCCTTGCCTCTTCCAGCTTCTAGTGGCCACTGGCATTCCAGGGCCTATGGCCACATCACTCCATTTCTGCCTCTGTGGCCACATTGCCCCTTGTCTATGTGTGTCAGATCTCTGCGTCCCTCTTGCAAGAATGTGTGCAATTGCACGTAGGGCCCACTGGATGATCCAGGATAATTCCTCCATCTCAAGATCCTCACTTACTCACATTTGCAAAGACCCCCTTTTTGCGATCTAAGGTAACATTCACAGGTTCCAAGGATTAGGAGGTGGATATCTTTTGGGGGGCCATTTTTCGGCCTATGGCACCCCTAGATTTTGTAGCTGTCTCTGCCTCCTGTCCTCTACCCTGCAGCCCAACTTCCTTTAAACATGTAGATCATGTCACAGGCTATTTTAAAACTCTTCAGTGGTTCCTGGGGCCCTCAGGACCATCCCGATTTCCTGACATGGCCCGCAAATACCCTTCCTCTTTCTCTCCCCCACTTTTCCCTTCACCCACGCTGCACTTCCTCCAGTTCCTTGGTGGAGCTGGATTGCGCTGTCTATGGGGCCTTTGAGTGCTCTTCTGCCTGCAGCACTTTCCCACCTCCTCACATTTTGTTTGGCTCATCCTAGTTCATCATCCAGTTCTCACTGAGATTTTGGACCTCACTTCCTCCAAGAAGGCTTGCTGTCCCGATGCAGGGTTAGGCGTGCCTTTCTGTGTGCTTCATCTGAGCTCTCACGTGATGGGGACGGGCTCCCTATCTCATGTCCACCTTGCTCACAGGATGTGCACCCTGCATCTGGCACAGTGCCTGACACACTGGAGACTTAAATGTTTGTTGCTGAGGCGACCCATAGGAGGGGAGCCTCTACATCCACCCTACCGAGAGGAATACCGCAGCAAAGAGCGCTAATCCACGGAGAAGTCTTTGCTGGAGAGATTGTGCGTGTGAATGCCAGAAGTTCCCACATATCTTTATTTTTAAGCAAAAATCAAGAATCATGTGATTATGAGATCAAAGAAAATATTTTCATGCTTCTTATTCTGTTTTCTTTCAGGCCATTCCTATGTTTCTCACTTTGCATAATGTAGCTGAAGTTATCATCTGTGGGTACCAGAAGTGTTTTCGGAAAGAGGTAAATGATCGTGCAAAACACTAGTTTTACTTTCCTTGCTTTAAATTTCAAAGAAGTACTTTTCTTTCTATGGCCCCAATTAGTGTGTGCATTTTCCTGCCACAAATTTCTAGTTAAGTCTTCCTGACCATGGTCACTGATTTCAAGGAACAGGGTTTTGACTTCGCTGTAGTTCACCAAACATACATGGGAATGCTTGTTGATGTGAACAGAACTCATCTCCAGGCCAGGGCTGAACTAGACCCTCAGGAGACAAGGAGGACTTGGCTGTGGGCTGTGGGGAAGCAGTCCCACCCCCAGCTGTCCCCAGCGCCACATGGAAAGGCGTGGCAGTAAAGGCATGGCAGTTTCACACAGGGCGCGGGAGTCCCAGCCCACCTTGGGGAAATTTGCTCTTTTTTTTCCAATCGCAGCTGTGCCTTGTACCAGCTAGAACAAGCTCCTTCACCCACGGGGCCTCCATCTCTGCAAGTCGATAATAACAAGCACCCAACTCACAGGGTTGTCGGGAGGACACAGCAACTACACGTGTTAAGTGCTTCCAGCCGATTCCGCCACATCAGCTCTGATTATTAATGTTATTAGTGGTGGTTTCAATTTTGGCCCTCTTTTAAGAGTTCCTTTTTTCTGACATTTGCCCATTTGGTGTCATATCAATTTTTGGGACTTTTAAAATATAGAGAGGGGCCAGGCACGGTGACTCATGCTGTAATCCTAGCACTCTGGGAGGCTGAGGCAAGAGGATCACTTGAGGTCGGGAGTTCGAGACCAGCCTGAGCAAAACAGAGACCCCGTCTCTACTAAAAATAGAAAGAAATTAGCTGGACAACTAAAAATATATATAGAAAAAATTAGCCGGGCATGGTGGCACGTGCCTGTAGTCCCAGCTATTCGGGGGGCTGAGGCAGGAGGATCGCTTGAGCCCAGGAGTTGGAGGTTGCTGTGAGCTAGGCTGACGCCACGGCACTCTAGCCAGGGCAACAGAGCCAGACTCTGTCTCAAATAAATAAATTAATAAATAATAAAATACAATACAGAATGGCTACCTGGCCCCCTCAGGCCGTGTGCTTCTTACAGGTGTGCAGGAGAGAGAGGTGTCCTTCCCATGGGCTGAGGTTGCGGCCACATGAGCGCCCCCGTCATCCCACTGCTCCCCGGAGGTGGCCCCACCAGCCAACTCTCCTCCCTCCTGTGTGAGCCTCTCCCTTGCTGCTGGCTGCTGTCCCTGGGCCCATGCCCGTGCTCAGTGTTGTCAGTGTGCTGAGGAGAGAGTGGGCCTGGGGACTCATGCTCACCCAGCCCAGGAAGGTGCGTTTACAAAAGCGGCCTCGCATGGAAAGTCTCCCACTCCTCTGGCCGCGCTGCCCCAGCTCTGCCTGTCTCATCCTGCCCCTTCCCAGCCGCCGGCCCAAGACAAGGCTGGGCTTCGTGCTGCCCACGTCCTCTTGTCCCTCTCACCTCAGCCACTCCTGCTGCTTTCCCCACGGCTCTCCTGAAGAGTGCTCTGGCTGAAGTCACCGATGGCTTCATCCGTGTGGCTCTTCCTCGGCTTTTACACCATTCATCGCCTGCCCCTTCTCTGGAGCCTCAGGGCCCCCTTGGCCTTAGCGCCCCTCCCCGCCTGCTTCTCTTCCCTGTCCCGGGCTCTTCCTCTGCAGCTGACTGTCCTCTTCCATGTCCTTCATCTGCCTCTTCGGGGCCTCCCAGGTAGAGCCTGCAGTGAACAGCCCTGGGCTCAGCCACTGTCGTTTCCTACCTGGGGAGGGTCCCATGGCAGAGGCTGGGAGGTGGGTCTCTGTGTAGGTAGAAGGCTCCCTGGCCTTTCAAGGAGGATGAGTGCCTTTCTTTGACATTTTACTTACCAAACTGTCATGTAATTTCCGCATTTCATGAGTTCTAGTGTGCTGCATTTTTTTTTCATATTTCAATCCATTTAAATTGGGGGGGGCTCTTAAAACCAAAGTGTTCTGGTGTCATTTTTTCTTTCTTTCTAGTACATAAAATAAGGGGAAGTTTTATAATCAGTGGTATCTCAGGTTCAGTGAGATACGGCACTGTTTTCCCTGTGTCTCCGGCCTGCTTCCTTGAGCCCTCTGATGGCAGGGACCACATGGCGGTTCTCTTTGTAGCCCCAGGCTCAGCCCAGAACTGGTGCTGCGCTAAATAGCCATGAGCTCATCACTGAGGGTTCAGGTTCAGAAACTCCTGAGAGCTGCTAGCTCTGGGTGCCTGACTCATGCCACTCAGATTCCAGGAAGTCTTCGTATCCATGAAAGGGATACTTTCTTATGAATTTAGAAACGAAGATTTTCTTGGTCTAGGGGTGAGATTTAGACATTTCCACAGAGTTTTGCTTCCTGATGGGCAAGTCGGGTCCCATACATGAGGGTGAGCATAGGACTCGGGCTGGGAGTCCCCTGGGGAAACTTCCATCCAGCAGGGGACCCCCTCTACTCCAGAGGCCAGGGCGGATGTCTGGCGGCGGGCACCTGTCCCTGGCAATAATCGGATGAACACCAGAGGATCCATTCCATCACTGACACAAACATTATTCCTTGTCAGGGCAAATTAGAAAAAAATTGAGTAGGCACATTTTTCTTTTTAGTTATTAAAAAACACCTGTCTTTCCTTTATGAATGTAATAAAATGTAAGAAGTTGTAGAAAATAGAGGAAAAAAGGCTGGTTATGGTTGCTGACACCTGTAATCCTAGCACTCTGGGAGGTCGAGACCTCAAGATTGCTTGAGGTCGGGAGTTTGAGACCAGCCTGAGCAAGAGCAAGACCCCATCTCTACAAAAAAATAGAAAAATTAGCCAGGTGTGGTGGTATGCACTTGTAGTCCCAGCTACTTGGGAGGCTGAGGCAGGAGGATCGCTTGAGGCCAGGAGTTTGAGGTTGCAGTGAGCTATGGTGACACTGCTGCACTCCACCCAGGCAACAGTGAGACCCTGTCTCAGAAAGAAAGAAAGAGAGAGAGAGAGAAAAGGAGAGAGAGAGAGAGAGAGAGGGAAGGAAGGAGGGAGGGAGGAAGGGAAAGAAGGAAGGAAGGAAAGAAGGAAAAAAAATAGAGGAAACCACCCCCCCAGAAATCAACTGTACTTCTTTTTCCCTAAGGAAACCACTCTTCTTTCGGACATTTTTATATCCACATATATAGATGTATTTACACAAATGGTAAAATACATCTTGTTTTTCCATTTATCAATTTGTCAGGAATCCCTGTTCGTGTCTTCGTTCCACACTGGATGAAGCATGTGCTGACCAGGTCCTACTTGTAGACTTGTAGGTGGTTTCTAGCAGTTTGGCGTTAACATCTGCTCTGTGATCAAGGTTGCTATGATATGTTCTTTTTTTTTTTGAGACAGAGTCTCACTTTGTTGCCCGGGCTAGAGTGCCGTGGCGTCAGCCTAGCTCACAGCAACCTCAACCTCAAACTCCTGGGCTCAAGCAATCCTACTGCCTCAGCCTCCCGAGTAGCTGGGACTACAGGCATGCACCACCATGCCC